GTACTTTTAATGTTCTGTAACTGTAGCATGAAAGCATGGTGGAAATAGCAAGCAAGCCAGCTAACTAGCCAGCCCTTAAATCCACATTCTCTTGTCACAGCAAAGGAAAGCACATTGCTGTGATTGATATTTACACTGATTCACCAGATTTTGTAATGTGCTGTTGGCTTAATTCCGTGTACATCAAAAAGAGAGAACAGGCTTGTGCTGTGCTGCATTTGTGAAGCTAAACTGGTTACGGAAAGTGAGCCAACGATAGACGTGACTGTGGTGTATTAGCCCTGCTCATGCCGATTCTTTTTTTTTTTTTATGTTCTAGAAGCAATTTTCTTTCATTTCCAGTGTAGGGGCCAAGCCATCAGGAAGAGCGCCACGATTTGAGGCAAAGTAGTGGCCAAATGGTGGAATTACAATACGGGTCCATCAGGTCTGACTTTCCCCCATAGACGTACATTGGGATTCAGAGCGTCTCTAACTCAGCAGATGATTTTGTTTTGTTTAGGTATATAAACTTTCCTTTATTGGAAAAGGCACCATGAGGCAAATCTGAATTTTCCTTCCTCCGTTCATGTCAATGAGCCTGTGAGCGAGGCTGGGCCGACGGCTGGGAGACAGGGTTACAAGAAAGGCTAGTGCACTTGCTCTATGGACCCAAGGATGTGGAAGATCGCCAGAAGATCAGGGTCATTTTATACTTAGAAGTTGAACTTTTTTTGCTTTGTGCGCCACTGAGCGACTTTCATAGGAATGAATGGGGCGCCGCCTCAACGCTGTAGTCAGTTATTCGTCCATGTTAGAAGCTCTAAAGATTAGTCTTAATTTGCAATGAGATTTGACAGTAGTTCCACTGCCTCTGTCAAAGCCCAATCATATGGAGTCTGGATGAGTCAAAGCGCAACGAAGGTTATTTTATTTGTTGCAGTGTGTAGTATCTGTAGATCACCGTAGACTTTTCTAACAGTCTTATATTACAAGTATTGTAGAACAGCAGGTGGGGTAGCTTGGGTCTTTATTTCTCCAACTGCAGTGCTGGTTATGATATATGGCCAGCCAAGTCCAGCGGCAAAATGGGAAAAAAAGTTCTGAATTGCACGAGGCAAGCTGTTGCGGCTCAATAACCCAGGCCTATAATCGGCTCACATTTCAAACACACACACACTTGCATTCAGACAGCCCTCGGTTTGGCTGGATTTTACGAGGAAGCACACCGCACGAGGTGATCAGCATATGTTTTGTTGACATAAATTTAAAATTTATTGCCGTTGTCAAAAGTGACTGTTGGACAAAGTCGATTATTAACTGAGTAAATGGCCTGAGAGAGTTTTATGTGAACTTCCTTAATGGCTGCAGTCAGTCTGTTTCAAATCACCCTCCCTCCCTCCTTCCCTCCCTGAGCTCCCACCCACCACACACCTCTCATCATCTATTTCAGAAGCACAACATGAAAGCAGACAGTTATGATGGGATTTCAGAGTGTATGCGCGTTTGTGTGTGGAGAGGTCTAGCCGAGCTAAATCGCTGAACTGGGACGATATATTTCAGTATCCTTTTATATATCATTAAATATTGTTGGAGCTGAACTATAGTATGTGATTAGCTCTGCTTAGGCATACAAAGCATGTCGTAGTTCTGTGTATGTGTGAGCACCTTTTATCCGTCTACAATTAACTATGTTTCATAAGTGGTGAGGTTGCTTACTCTCTGTCACCAGGCCAGATGACGGGCTCACATTTGATCCTGTTGGGCCAGTTACAGTTCAATTTGGCGACTCATTGTGTGTACTTTGGCTGATTTGCTTAGAGAATCACAAATTGCACTTGAAACCTGCACTTACTTGTGAAAAGAAGCTTCATTCCCTATTGACTAAATACAGTCAAATGGCATAAGGAAGGGCGCCATTAGTGTTTCAATAGGACAAGCTTAGTCCTAAACCTTCCCTTTGATAGACTGAATTGCTGGAACAGGTGCTGTTACCATTCTGTTGAACATCAAGTAATGTGCTGTTTCAGTGGGCAGTGCTAGCTTTTGCAGTTACGGACATACACACTGCACTTTGCTCATCAACACTACATTTACGGTGAAAATACATGGCATTGCTTCCACTTCTGGTGGCCATAATAAGTCCATCCATACCTTATCAGTGCTCTGTCTGGGGGGCACAATGGTCAGATTGAGGAGGGACACAAAAGGCCTTTGAAAGGCTTTGTGCTCTGTGTGTGTTGTGTTGTGGTTTACCGCTCGCGTGTGTTTTCCCCTCATCGGAGTGAAAGTGTGTGAGTACGTCACCTGTGATCCTGATGGGGAAAAAAAAAATCCGGTTGCATTCCTTTGTCCATTTTGCTTTTAGTCAATGAATTTGTGTCGCGCCAATCACGAGGGATGCCTCAATAGACCAGGATGCAATGAAGCTGTAAGTCAATTGATATGGATTTGCCAAACTATATGAACAACGGTCTGATCATGCATTGATGCCTTATTGTTGTGCCCGCATATCTGCTTTTGGTTAAACGCTACAAACTCATATTTCCGTGCTGCAATGGCATTCTGGGAAAAGTGAAAAACTTTCATTAAAGTACATCGCATCATAGATATAACTCCTGGACTGAATGTACCATCACAGACTGATATCATGTAGTGTAAGAGTATCATTTCCATTCTCAGTTGTGTCATTCCTGTCTCTCTGTGTCACTTTCTGTCCCTGTTTTGGCTTTTCAAGTGTCTTCTTTCCCTTCTGGGTGCATTTGGCATTTATAGGGCCTTTTAATCACTCGCTGCTTGCCAGACGGCTGTCATTCTGCCTTTTAGTTTCCAGGGTCTCTCCACAAATTTGAACCACTAAAATGGCTATCACGACTTCTTCAACCCCACTTATTTTTTTCACACCTTAGTTTTTTTTTTTTTTACCACTCTTCCTGTCAGGTTTCAAGGATGTTTTGCAGCAATTAATAGTCACTAAAGTCAAACCAGACTTCATTGCTTAATAACTCCTACAGCCACCACCATAAGACCCACTATCATCTCTCTATGTCTGTCTCGGTCTCATCTCCGCTCTGTCTCTCCCTACCCCTCTCGAGGCACAAAAGAGCTGTAAATCAATTTGCATTCGACATCTGACATCAATCAGTCATGTTTTGGGAGAGTGGCACCACCTCCTCCTCTGCGGCTTTGTTGAGAGGCACTAAGATGGATGGCTGTCATCTTGCCCAAGTTGAGCAGATCTCTTATCAAGGGCATTGTTTCCCCAAGAATGCACTTGGCTGATCACTGCACCACCTGACGCATCGACGGAGACTATGAAATCCTTCTGCTTGACGTAGTCTTGATTTGCCTGTCGGAGGCATGTACTCACTCACCCGAGTATAGTATCGTACACTTATCCTGTGCAAATTGGCATTATCGTGTTTAACAATATGCAAATCCACAACAATTATTTGTATTTTTATTGATGCTCTATGGCTGATGGCAAACAACAGTATGGTGCATTAACAACCCCAACTGGTATGTTTTATATGGAGTGTGGATTGGGACTCTACCTATACCTTCACTAATATTAATAATGAATAAAATAAGAGAAAATGTGTACAAAAACTAAACAAAGTTATATTATCTCTATCAAGTTATATTGAACCCTCCGGTTCCCCCGCGGGCACTGTTAGCTCTGTCAGCACCGTTGCTGTTGTTTGCGCTGTTAGCCTGGTTAGCACTGTTAGCTTCTAGCCACCTGCTCAGGGGTCGCCACGTTGGCAGCCTTGTGGAAGCAATATATATATATATATGCTCTGAATTTTGTTTCTAGCACCTTTTCAAGATTTTTCTTTGAGTATCACATTTTGGACAGTAAAGAATAATGTTCTAAAGTGTATTTCTATCTATATTAAATATTGTATTGTTTAATCCTGTTTGGCCAAAACGTAACCTGGATATTATCATTTCCTCTCTCACTTTACTTTGAATTCTGTATCCAGAATCATGCCATTCAAACTAAAACCGTGTTAGTTTTTTACCATCTTGATTTAAACTGACCACAGCATTATTATCAGAAAGGAGGCTCTCTGTGAGACAGAGCAACAGTTTTGGAAGATTAATTGTACCAAGTCTGAAACTGCACCAACCTGACAAACAATCATTGGTATCATGGGTGTGTCTCTTTGTGAACCTTACTCAAGGCGAAGTATTTGAAGTTCTCGGGAGGCTTAAGGCACTGTGGCAGTTGTTTGGCAATTCGTGTCACCTTAATTGCTTTAGAGCACTTTCAGATATCTCTCAAGAATTATATGCTTTGTACTGAGCCGTGGGGTCTTTGAGGATTTCGTAACAGAGAGTCGTGGGGCTAGACTTTGTGTTGTCAGATGTTATTTACTAACCTAACCTTCAAGGCCTTTACCACATAACCAAATATTGAACCTTGGTCTTGTCTGACCTTGTGCGCTTACAGCCTAACGACCGTCTATTTCGTAAAAAGATAAGTCATTGCAGATCAGATTTTCCTTTAAGCTGTACATCACCTTCTAGATTAGAGAGCAGTAGTCAAAAACTGACCCATTAATGGTTCATAACACTTAAGTAGCTGCCTTGTGTGTTTGCCTGAATAAATCATTCTATTTCACTTTATGGCTCCTTACCCATCTGCAGCACTTGAGATGTAGGTGGTTGATAATGCCTCTGCTTGAATAGCATCTTGAGATTTACAGCACCAAGTCATAGTCTGGCGCTCCCTGCTGAAAACGACGTGTTGTAGTTGGGCAGCTTGTTACACTGATGGTTATTGTTATGTGCTGCTGTTGTGGCTGATGGAGTCGGGAGTTTCTCCAAATGCAAAAGGCTATTTCTTTGTTGTGCTGAAAGTCGTTAGTTAAAAAAAATGAAAGTAAAAAAAATAAATAAAAAGCCAGTTTGTTTTAAGGACACATGCATCATGCCCATTAAGCTTTGTCTGATCAAAACCGTATTTTTTAACTGAATCCAGATCTTAAAATGTTCGTTCTGCTCTTTGTCAACAGGAAGATGCACAGTGGAATGAAGACCTACGGCTGTGAGCTGTGTGGAAAGAACTTCCTGGACAGCCTCCGTCTACGGATGCATTTGCTGTCTCATTCAGGTAAAGAAATCAAACCAACCTAAAATACCACATCATCACATAGAGCGGGGCTCTATGATCACTGTTCAGCTCGCAGTACGTCCTGTTTTCATTGCAGGGTTTACTGCTGATTTTCTTCTTCTTTTTTTTTAAATAGAGCATTCATTACTACTATTACATTTAAGCATTATATGCAGAGTTTCACTACTGAATGAAATGGCAAAAGTTAAGTATATGTGATTCCAAATAAATGCGCTAAACATGCAAAAACATCAGCGCGGTCCTTTTTGAAGGGAGAAAATCTGCTTTTCTTCCAGATTTCTACTCTTATACCCTGAAGCAAGGACTGACTTCAATGTGGTTTACAACCCATTCACAGATTCAAATTGATTTATTTACTATAACATTTCACAACACAATCAGTATTGATATTAGATTTTAACATGATATATGTATTTACACTGGATGTTGCAGTTGTTGAGAGCTGAATAAAGGGATAACTTGCCTTACATGCGCTCTACAGCACTATAAATTAGGGCTGAAACAGTTCCTCGAGTAAATCAATTTCTAAAAGTCATTGTTTAAACACCGCCCCCCCCCCACAATATAACGCTAATGTTAACAGATGTTACATTATGATGATATAGCTTTGACAAAAATGATTCAATGCAATTTAAGCAATAATAAATGTTGACTTCTCTAAGAAGGAAACCTCTCAGTCGTTCAGTCTTAGTTTCTCTTTTGTATATTTACTATTGCTCCTTAATAAACCAAACACATTTTTTATCATATAACTCGATTAAGCGACAGAATAAACAGTATAATACTTGATTACTAAAATAATCGATAGCTGCAGTCCTGTTTTAAATATAATAGCTTTAAACATGTCAATGTGGAGAATACCTTGAAAACACTCTTGAGTTTAGTCCAGCCCAATAAAGCTGAGCAGCTCTGGGAAACTTAACCAAAGAGGTGCCTGCACATCATCATTCTGTCACCCTGCAGACATTAGAGGTCTTACAGGCAGTCCAAGTCCGAACACAAGACACATTGATTGGTCCAGTTTGACACAAGTACACCCGACCCCAAACATGCACACACACACACGTCCCAGCAGCCCCTGTGCTCTGAGCCTACTTAGCGCAGCACTGTTTTAATGGCATGGGCCGTCTTTTATAGGCAGCAAAGAGCTCCTCATTCCTAAGGCCCTAAGTGCAGATGGTTTATTGAGACACTGTAAAAGCCATGGGACCTCTGAGGAAACCCCTTCTGCACACAAACGCATACACACGCACACAACCCCAAATCCATGTGTTGACTTTGGCCCAGAAGTTGAGCCCTCTGTTCAGTACCCCGTATGTTTTCCAATGAAACACAGTAAGTGGTCTGAATTATCTACTTGGCATTGTTGTTGTCGGAGGTGGGGGATGCGCCCCCCCCCCTCACCGTAGGCAGAAAACGATAATTGCCAGGATCATTTGTTTGTTCGTATCCCACCAAAACTTAAACAATGACTGAGATGGATGCTGACACTCCTGCTCTGTTGTGACAAAGATGAATGACAAATTCCCGCTGTGCCAGAGAATTGTCTCAACACGCGACTCAGCATGTCAAAAACAAAAGTTTCTCTGAGGAAATATTCGCTGTTTATTTTAGAATTACGCCCCATTTCCACAGTCCCTGCTGCAAATGCACGCGCCCCTTCTCACTCAGTTGTCAAAGCAGAGAGAGAGAAAGGGGAGCTCTGTCACAGGAATATAATGGATACAGAGTGTTTTACAGAATGCGTCTCACGGTGTGTGTGTGTGTGTGTGTGTGTGTGTGTGTGCGCGCCAGCCCTTAAGCCACAGACCTGGATCTGGCTCCTATTTAGTGCAACATCATCGTGTACGACTCATTTGCAAACGTTGTCTTTAAGTCAGGAGTTATGACAAAGTGGAAGCTGAGGGTGAGTCGAGGTAATCCTGATACATGTTACCTTGTCCTGACGTGTGTGTGCAGCTCTCTGCATGCTCCAGTGGAGATTAGCCTTGAAGAGCCATGCTCTGGCTACTGACATGGATCCAAGTGAACAGCAAGCCTAAACGTCTATTTGGTGTTTTACCAATGTATTGTTTTGATAGTATTACTGAATACCCTTATTATTCAGTACCACCCCTTTTCTAATGGATGTTGAAGTTATTGTAAGTTTTGGATAGTAGTAGAGTAGTGATAACGGTAAAGAATTGGAAGTATAATAGAAGCAGCTTTTAACAAATTCAGAAAAGTTAGGCTACAACCGGCCTCTTCTGCTGTTATCTGATATTTTCTACACACATTTATTGCAAAAAATGTGTAGATTTGTATATCATGTTGTGAATTATATTTCTCCTCTGACTATGAATTACCAAAATATTTTGATCACCTAATTTATGCAAATATACACTTGGGATAATGTACATTTAACAGGTATAGGTGACCATGTAACAGCCAACAGGCACAAAGTTTATACTCACTACTTACTCTCAGTGCTAAAAAAAAGAGTCGAGGACTAAAAGCTTGAAGAAGAAATGTTAGTTTTAGAAGTGGTTTCATATTTTGAGTTTTTGAAATCTGTTTTAATGTTGAGGGACGTCCATGGTTCAGTTTCCCATAGAGGAAAGGGATACGGAAGGAAAAAGGTGATGGGTTCATGGGTCATGACTTTTATTAATAGAGTTTGACAGGTGTGAAAATGATGATGAAACATATATACCGTCTTCCAGGTGGTGCTTGTGTTAGCTCAGACCACACTGAGGTAATTATTATCCGAGTAGTTTTCCAACAGAAAGTAGACCATTTCAAATTCTCCCATGATATCAACAGGTTAATGATAACTCGCAACGTGTACCCATTTATATAAGGTGAAAACTGTGTTGATAGGAGATCAAATGGAAAAAAAAAAGAACACTGAGAACTCGAGGAAGAACCACATTCTCCACCTTGAGAAAGGCAACCGAGCGGAAGATGTGGCCGGTGTATTTTTAGCTCCAGAGGCAGCAAGTGCACAAACTTTTTTTCTTTCGTTCTCTTTTTTTCTTTTTTTTCACTCTTTCCAAGCGGGGCTGTGTTGACGCACGACATCAACCTGTACTGTTACACACATCAGTGTTGATTCATAGCCGCTTTGGTCTGGCGTAAAAGGCGAGACAAGCGCTTCTGTCAAGACGGGCGACGGTTAGGGAAGAGACAGCGCTGAGGTAAAGCTTCTTTGATAGTTTTTGTTGTCTTTTTTTGTTGTTGCACTTTTTTTTTCTTTTTTCCCCCTCCTCCACCTCCACCGTTTGACTTTCAAGGCTTTTCTCGGGCTGATGCTGCGTCTCGATTTTTATCGTGTCTCTCTGTAATGACACTTCGCCGAGTCCCAAAACCCTCAACCTCAGTTCCTCCTCCCCTCCCCCTCCACCTCCATCGTCGCCTGCCATCATCCTTCAGCTCGCTTCAGAGAAGACAGAATATTGGGGAGATGAAGCGAGAGAGTGGAGAGGCTTTTTGATATGTGCAGCGTGTCGTGGATGTGGAGCGTTTCAGACGCTGCCTCCTCCCTCCTCTCTGCTTTTCTGTCTGTCTGTCTGTCTGTCTGTCTGTCTGTCTGTCT